GATTGTAGTGTATTTTTCTTCCATGAAATCATCAAAATTATCTTAATTTTCACCCATCACATTTTCTTATTATTCTCTTTCTACTTCTTCCATAATTTATTTATTCATAACAACTTTTCATTCCTTCTCAATTGCTAATTCATTTCCAATTATCATTGTATTTTTCAGTAATTCATAAAGGACCTCTTCTATAGAGAATCCTTAAACCAATTTCATGTTAACTGGTACACACTATTTAACAATATCTATCTTGTAGTTATCAATCTGAAGAATTCCAAGCATGTTTTTAAAACCATTTCTATCAATTTTACTCTTTCTCAATGATAGAACCACTATCTTGGGTCTCCATGGCTGCATTTTATAGGATATTGATTTAAATGAGGTTTTCATTACAACATCATCCTGTGCAGAGGGAGTATGGTCCTCAGGTTATAGTTTAATCACCCAATCAAATGATCTCTTATTATCATCTAGTGGTCTTCTACCAGTCGTTATCGTCGGGTGGTATTCTATTAGTCATTATCTTTTTTTGTATGAGTACAAATATGTGAAGATAGCTTAAGAGACTCATGTCATGACTCGTGCTCCTTATGTGATCTTGTAGGCGCATGTAAATCACCTCAACAAAACTTTCTTTTATGTTTTATCCGTCTAACCTCATAGTCTTCAGATTGAGGGTAACTTTTGTATCTCTTTTATTGACCCAATTGAACATTCTCTTCTTGTTCATTTGTACTCAGGTTCTTCATTTTGTGATTATGTTTCTCTCACTTCAGTATTTTTATTTTCACATCATCAGACACAACATTTCTCATACTTCACAAAATTTCAACAATTGTATATATATCTTTTGCAATCATCTTTTCAATGATAGTTTTGACTTTGGCATATTATGACTTCTTCCTTGTACCATGAATGCAGTCATACTTAGAAGTTTTATGGGGAGTGACATTAATCTTACGAACATCCTCTTCTCCTTGAGATATAGAAATAGCATGAAGACTTTTACCATTTTAAAAACGAGAGATCTCAGACAACATGTAATTTTCATCCCAACGTGCATCTTCCATTTCAGTCAAATATTTCTTGATTTCCAATTTGTTCTTCAACATTTGAATTCATTTGATTCTATTACTCATTTAAGTCTAGCACAAATAGGCAAATTTAGAAGAAGAACTAATCTTAAACTGGTAGGGCAAGAAAATGTTATACATTATAGTCCATTACATTGCTAACAACATCTTCATCCATCATCAAAAATTGTAACTTCTTTTGCACATTAGACTCTTTTGGAACCACAATATTAACTATATTAACAACTATATTCTGAGTAGTTTCAAATATCTTCCTCTTCAGAGAGTAAAATTCTTATATGAGTTGAAATTGAATTCAGTCATTAGCTTCTTCTTAGACACCACTTCAAGATTCATAAAAAAGGTAAAGTTGTCATAGGTTATCTCCAAGTTATGAAACCTCGTGCCAAACTTAATCACATAGCCACTGGAAAAAAGTTTTTTGTCTAGGGTGAAATTCATGCCAGTTTCGAAAGAGAGGATTAGCTTAGACGTAGAAATTTTCTATAATTAAAAATTTAAAAACCTCAATTCAATACTCCATAGTAGTCATGGAGGTCTTGAAAAAGTTGAGTAGTGGACTCCCTCCTTAAAACAAACTGAATCATGAGGACTGCCTATAAAAAAAATCTGCATTATGATCGAAGGAGATTTAGAACTTGTCCGATTCAATTAAGTAGTTTTAATTATTAAAATTTTATTCATGCATTTTTTGTTATTGTTATTGTTATTATTTGTCGAACACTTACGAATCAAATCTTCATATGATTGTAAGGTTCAAAAGAAGATTTAGGAATATGATTCAAACCTGTCAAATGCAGGTATGATAAGAGAATCTGAAAAGAGAAACATTTGGAATTTTGAATTGGAAGAGATTTTTTAAGGTTTGGTAAGGACCCAAGACAAATTATTATTATTTTATATATTTTAATGAGAATGGTTTAATTTTTAAAGATTTTGAGAATTTTTTTTTAAATTTAAAAGAATTATGAATTTGTTTTATTTTATTTTAAATGATTTGATTTTTTTGAAGATTCTTATTAATATAGATAAAAAAATTCACTCAGAATGCTAAAAAATTCTTCCCTAACTAATAATATTATTGATTATTCCAAAGTTCTAGGTTTTAAGGAGTTCTAGGACGCAACTGTTAAGGAATGTTAAATAGGAGGTTTTAGAACCTAAAATTTTACGATGTTGGCTATACTTACCCAAAAGTGACATGGGCAAGATATCCAAGTAGTTTAGACATTAAGGTTTTATCTCAATATGTATAAAGACAGAGATATTAGGGATGTAAATACATAGAAATTCGAAGATATGCATGTAAATCCTATTAATATTAATACTCTCAAAAGTTCTTGTAGTTTCATTGATATCAACTCAGACTTTGAACCAAGCACAGAAAATGCATTTCCAAGAGATTCAACTTCCCAAACACCAAGAAGTTTGATTGCCTTTTCGAAATTAGAAAGTGATTATCCTGGCTTTAAAGAGACGGAGATGGAGAATTCCTCTGCAATAATGGGGATTGAGGAAGGAGAAGCGGGAAGGAAATGAGACGGGAGAGCGAGAAGGCGTAGAGGACGTGATGGGCTATGATGCAGAGATAAGCGAAGCTCTGCTGAAGAGAGATAGATGGAGTTAAAAGGGTTTGTTGTTCGCGAACAGCTTGTGTTTGGTTTGTTCGTTGAGTTAACGAGCCGAACAGAAACAAAGATTTATTTATTCATGTTTGGCTCTCTTTGGCTCGAAATACTACTCATCAATTATATATATATATTAATGAGTACTATTTTTTAAAAAATTAATTGACTACAAGGTTACAAAGATTTATAATCAATTAAAAATATTAATGAAGAAAATAGAATAAAAATTATTAAATAGATTGAAATGATGTTTTAATATAAACAATAATTTTTAAATCTTCCCCAACCTTTAACATCTTATGGCCAGATGATTAGGGTTGTCAAAAAGACTCTCTGTTCATGAACAGCTCGTGTTCGGCTCGCGAAGCAAACGCACCGCACAACATACTTTTTGAGCTCGAAATATAAACAAGTCGAACATGAGCTGAGCCTGGGCTCGCTCGTGTTCGGCTTATTTACACCCCTAAGAACGGGGTAATGGAGGGTGGTTGTAGCGAAGAAGAGTGAAGTTCTGGGTGGTTAAAATATAAATAAATGGGTTTGGTTAGGGTGTTATAATAAAAGTTTTGGGTGGTTGTATGTAAAAACACATTATTATTGTATCCATCTCCTAATTGGTTGGCTTGAATGACAACGACGGTGGGCTTTCCAGGAAGAAAAGGAGTTTAAAATTGAATTTTAGGTGTTAAATATGTATATACATAGGAATTAAGTGGTATGTATGTCAATCTTCCTAATTTTTATTATTTATTTGTTTTTGTCTCGATTTATGCACCAATATCTCATCCATAATAATCTGACAATATAGGTGTTCTTCATGGGCAAATTAGACATTTTGATCACGCTCACAAAGTTATTATTATGAATAGATGTCATTTGAGCTACTTTGGCAATGGTTGAGACGATTTGAGTTAATCTTGTTGTCAAATCAACAATATGTCATTTTCATCTTACTTGCTTATTTCTATTGCTGAAAACCTCCTCTTTAAATAATTTTGAAATAATTTTGATGCTCTGAATGTGGTGGGGTGGTCAAGTTTACAATCAGATAATATTTTCGATGATTTCAAGTGTGATTGATGTCTTTCAAACTAGATTTCCATAAAACGACAATCAATGGTTAATTTCGGCCATGTGTTTGATGTCATCGTACTATGAAACTTAAACTAACATCAACATACATCTCAAAATTTCGCTATTTAATTTCATGTGGCATTGTCCACCAATTCAGTTACCCAAGTACATTTGAGCAAGATGGTGTTGATGAACACCGTTCTAGATACCATACAAGCTTTACGCCATAATTCTCACCTCCCTATCAATTTTGGCCGTATGCCGTCCTGACAGTCACATATCTAATAAACCAACTCTCATTCAAAACACTTAAATCTCCTCTTTACCTGATCAACTATTATATAACAAGAAACCAACATACACCCACATGCATTCCACTGCTTCTGCTTCCCATGGTTGCAACCCTCATTCACATCCTTGTCTATTACTCGACTTCAGCACTAAATTAATCTAATAGTCATCATTATTATTATTATATTTAATTTAAAAATATAATTATTAAATAAAACATCAGATAATATTATGTAATGACTGTTATTTATCATATTAATGATGAGCTAAATAGAAACCACTTAAACTCTTGATGTTAAATGTTCTAGGTTCCTCTATAACTAGGTCAATTAGATGTGTACACTATATGTAAGAGGAAGTGAATCTAATAAAATTTGGTTTCATTGTTAAGAACACGAAATCATACCTTCCAACCAATTTTGACTTCTTCCATACTTGACAACAGTAAATTGAGCATTGATAGCGAATATTAGGCAAAACAAAGTTATTAGGAATAATCAAATTGTCGCATAATATATTAATGCTCTAATTTATGCTTGGCTAATATAATTCAATACTAAATGAATTCAAATCTTGTGTAATTGGCTTCAATTTCATCTTTTTAACCACAATTCTCAAAAACTTTGCATACACAACATTTTTTTCCGAGCCATCAACAAAAAAATAAAATAAAATATATCTTCAAGATAGATCTTGGAAGAAGATTTCCCATTTCTTATATACAAACATTCACCTTTTTCATGACATTTTTTCTCTCACAATGTTGACCAAAAATCTTGGGCAAAAATAGTAGACAGCTATAAATGTGACTCCTTTTTCATCAACTGTTCATAATGAACTCGACTAAACAAAACAAATCTAGGTTCTAACGCTATTAAAGTACTGTCAAAAGAATATCAATAAATTGGTGTAGAAGGGTCAATATTCCATAGGTAACATACTAATAAAAGAAAAATTGAATAAAATGATGAAAGAGAGTGTAAATATCAACAAGTTCTCCCTCGATGATTACTTTATTGCTTCACTTTCTCTTATTTCTGAATGTACACCACCCACCCAATATTTTTGTCCATAATTATCCCCCGGATACAAAAAGAAAATAAAGCCTTCAATAAATAATTCAACAGATAACATGTGAGCTGCAAATAGAGCAAGTATTCCACACCTTAATAAATCTTTATTCTCCAAAGTGATGGCACTTCCAGATTTCAAATTGATAGTTTGTACTGGCTTCTACTTCACCCTGCTGTCTTGGAGAAGAACAAGGGCAACTGAGTAGGCAGAAATAATGAGGGGAGTTGGGACTTTCTCAGCAATATTACGGATCCTTCGCACTTTCATTGCCGCGCTCTTTGTTTTGATTGCCATGAGAGGAGCTGCCAATAGAGAAAGTACCACCCTGTTTGCTAAAACTACTCGCAGGTCCCTGTGAATCCATTCCATGATCAAACCATAGAACTGGGCTTTGTCAAGTCCTTTGTATTCTGAACGAATGGACTGCAATAATAACAGAATCGGAAATAAGAAAGCATGGACACAAAATAAAAACAAAAGCTAAGGGCTTTACATACATAGCTTATGTATTTACATATCTCAAACCAAAACTTTCATGTTTACATACTCAGCACTCAAATCATTAATATCGCATCAAAAATAGCAATAATATCACTTTTTAAAAGTGAAATACACAATTTTCATGTATGGGTTTAAAGCGCCAAAATGCTATGTATGTAAATTTGAAAGTTTAGGCGTGAGAAAAGTAAATACATAAGAATTTCCCAAAAAGTTAAAGTTTAAGATCAGCTACTGGTCAACTGTATAATTGACTCCAGCTTGAACTTCTTCAACGAGAAAATATGCCAAACACAATCAAGAACCAACTCGATTATGTTCATTTTCGCTCGTGCATTTTACCATCAAAAGCCATCCAAAATACACCAAAAATCATGGGCAATGTATATTTTATGTTTTATGCTGGGCTGGTACCTTCTCAACAATATATTTGTTAGTAAACTACCAGTAGAAAGAGATTCAAAGAATGATAATGATGTTGATAATGCCATTATGATCCATGGAGCCTTCAGTTCTTCAGCAAAATAGTGCTTCAGCTTGATACTCGAGAATTAACCCCAACGCAAGATTAATGATAGCAGTAGAAAGCCAAATTGTTCGAATTTATGTCTATTCAAACCCTCCTTTTGTTGGTTGAATATAAAAAACATATTTTCAAAATTATATAATTTACCTAATTTATAATTTAATTAGATAACAGTAAAAATTAACATTGATTTTAAACTGCAAACCCTCACATAAAAATGATTTGATTGCAAATATAAAATGAGTAAAACCAAATACATTATTTTCCAAGACATTTTTCATTTAGAAACAACTAGCTGAATCCTTAAGAAAATTACGAAAAGTTCAAACTCCAAATGTACTGCACTCAACAAATCCTATACTAAAATGCTTTTTTAACTTCACCGAAACAAAATTATAAACCTTCATTAAGAAAAGAGATTCTCACACTTTGTTATTTTAGATCCATTGGGAATCAATCACAATGCAAATTAAAAATTCCGAGCTTAACACTTGCAAGGGAAGTGGATACAGAGGATATTCTTTGTGAGAGAAGTGGATGAAAGATTCTCCTTAATGAAGTTACCAAAATTGCTGTTGATAACAAAAAACTTATTTTCGCAGCAGCAGCAGCGGTCGACATTTTCATCCATAAGAAGTGGCAACTAGGATGACTTCTTAGCCGATGGTGTGCATAGGGTGGACAGCTCCATAGCTGATTGTGGCAGGAAGTAGATCTAAACAAGCGGCTTGCAATGGCTAGAGAGCGGAAGAATAATGAGGCCTGTAGGAGGTGGCAATTCAATAAGATCCATTAATCTTGAACCCATTTTTCCTGCTACCCTCAGAATTAATTTTGCAGTAGTTGCTCTTTGGATTAACTCATGCCAAAAGTTGAAAAAGAAGATTGTGTAAATTGAGCAGTGATCCTCTATAAAAAACTAGAACTTTTGAAGAGGGAGTAAGAGTTTCATAAATGGGAAAGATCAGTTAATGATGATGGTTATTTGCTTTAATGATCTTCTGTGTAAATATTACAGTATCGTACAGGTTGATAAGAGGTTTGTAAATTTCATACTATGCATACTAAGTCGTCTCAGTATTCATCATCACGTAGTTGGAATAGCTCCTGTTTACTTGGAATTAGTAAAGTTCACCGTATACTCATCCAAATATCAAAATTCCAATTTCAGTTTAAACTTTTATGCAGCCAAAAGAATTCCATATATATCATTTACTTTTTATGATCATTGTTTTGCACAACATGCTTTGCTCCATCTAGGAAAGAAAAAATCATTTTATATTAGTTCTAACAAATAGTTCATTTGTATTTACGATTTTGCAAATACTTTAATTACGACATTTGCATGCAGCTCATTATGCATATGTTTTGCAGATCATTTCTAGGATTTTTGGAATTAGTAATAACGAGAAAATATTTCTTAAGTTGGCAGATGATGTTGCAAGAAAAATATCTTCGAATAATACAGCAATATTGATTGAGTTGTTGCTTCAACTGCTACTCTCAAAGAAATTTAGTCTTACTTTTTTAGGGGGCACAACAACTCCTTGCTTTTAACCATGAACTAACGCCACATGATCAAAAGTAATGTGAACTAGAACATTTAAGAAGATCAGTGCAGTTACACAATTTTCATGCCCAATTTCTACAGTGAATTATCATTTTTGCAATTGCTAAACTCTGTCATCAATGCCCATAAATTTCTGCCCAATTTATCATCAACTTCTTGACATTCATTTTACATTTTAAAATAGCAGGTTCTTCTAAATATGTTAAATCAACTGATGTCACTCGATTATAATACTCATTTACAATTTACAAAATGCAAAATTTTTAAAAAGATTCAAATAAATATAGTTTGTAGAATAGCAATGACCGAAGCATTGGATTTGTTATCCTTACTAGGTGATACATTTGATAACAGAGACTTAGCACTACTAGTCTTTATCACCAACTATTTAAATATAGACATCATGAATTTTTAGAGTATTCATTTTCATCCAGTCTGTATAGTCAACCATGTTGATACAAGCATCATGGATATTTGAAATTACTATTTTATATTGGCGCATTTGTACGGAGTGTTTCTTACCAAGAAAACAAGTTTGCAGCACAGCTAGGAAACTACTCCACTGAATATTTTCATATGTTAGTCCAAGGGGCATTGCGTTTTCTGTTTGTTTAAGCTATTGCCAAATACATGGATTAGAGCCATATAAATAAATGAGGTACGCATAAGAGTGAAAATATTCCTAAAAACCAAGTGAAAATAAGAGTTGAGCATTTCATACGCTAACAGTGATCCTTTTCCATTAGCTTAAGCCTTTGGAACAATGAGTGTCTATTATTAAAGTAGTGAGTAAACCCCTGGTATTTGAGCAACCTAACAAATGGTATCAACTTCGATGCTTGACCAGGGTAAACAATTTAATGTAGCCTATGGTCCTGTCTTAACTAATTAAAAGGGAAACTCCCACCCAGACTCCATGTGTAGAGTAAGATATTGATGCATGACACATGAAGGTATTGAAGAGCTGTTCGAGAGGGGGTGATGACTAATGCAAATAATTATCATGTAAGAGGAGATTAATGTTATATGCATTATATTGAATTCTTAATATAATAGTAATGGCCATATCTATTAATGTATATTTCTAGATGTAAGTCCATATATCAGAATCCTGAGCTCGATTAAGCCCATGATGTTCAAGCATCAACATGTGAGAGCCCTCCACGTGAGTTATTGCTCACATAGGAGACCTCCCATCAATTATTGTTCCTCTTCAAATGCATGATTTACAACAATGTCATACACTGATGCGCCAAAAACCAGTCATCCATATGGAACCTACATGATAGTAACCTGCCTACATGGTGCCTACATGAAGGTAACCAGCCATTAAACCTTACCAGACCATGATAAAAACTGCAAAAAACCTTCAAGAGGCAAAAGCGCGGGCACTCCATCCATGTTAAACTAGCTTAGATAGCACTCGTTACAAAGCTGAAACACCACAGGCCAAATAAAGCCAATACAGCAGTACTTTGACATGCATCAACCCAAAAATTTAAACTAATAATTAAATGACGTGGCTAGTAAGAATCTAATTCTTAATTCAAATATGATGATAAACTATACTGCTTTCATGTCAATTTCATCATTCAGAAGCAATAATTGACTTCAATAAAATATTTTATAAGATTTTGAATGCTTGCTTTATTGTCATTGGCTAAAATTATTTTATCATTGAAAATTTTAATCAAACTCTACTATGATTATATAGACATTATCAAAATCATGTATAGTTGTACTGAGAAGCAAAAATATTTCAGACAAGAAAAACAACTTTCCAGAGAAATCACGAAAGAATGCATGTTTCAAATAAACGCATTAATTATGTCATACCTCCACTTTAGCTCTGACAGTTTCTAAAGATGGTGGTTCCTTATGAGGACTAAGTAACTGCTTGTTCACTGAACTGAAAAAACAACAATAAATAGAAAGTTAAACACATACAAAGAAAAAACTTATAAATAATAATAGCAAAGGAAAGCTGTCTTACTTGTACACCATTAGGGTAGCAACATGAAGTTTATCCAATGACAAAAGATTAGTGTCAGCAAATTGATCAAATACTTTATCACATATCCTTCGTACTTGCAATTTTCCTAAAAGAAAAAGAAAAAAGGTTCCAGCTCAGTATCAGCTCATGGAAAGCATCAGGCAGTGCGTTGCATTAAATAGAACTGGGATGAAGAAAAATTTGTAATTTGTTTGGCTTAAAATTTAAGTGTAATAAGGACAAAATAAGGACGGCATCAATTAGTAAATAAGGATTTGTTATAAAATGTTATAAATAAAAACAATGGTTCTTATTTTGCAAAAAATGAAAGCTAACCCTAGCATATTTGACAGGGCATTTCAAAAACTCAAACATATATCCCCGAGTTTGAAACTACCCTTTTACAACTAATGAACTAATGTCTAGTTTGTATGATAAACTATCATACAAAATCAATTAGTTTTACTAGGCATTCCACAAACCCAAACATGTACACCAATTTTTTTTAAGAAGCCCTAATATATATGCAATGGTTAGTTGCTTTGTTTGCAAAACAGTATTAAATTCTTATCCTTTTTTACATAGTTTAAGGCTTTATTTTCATAAGGAAACCAATCATTAGGGAGTTTTCTGCAAACAACCCTAAAAATTAATCAATGGTAATCGTTTTTCCAAGCATGACTTAGGTAGCAGCAAGTCAAGTAAAACACTCATCTTATTGAGAAAGATCTGTATTAATCCCGGTTAATTCTGTTAGAAATATTTTATAACTCACTAATACAAAAATAAAAATACAGTGATCTTGTCTTGCAATGTCTTGCAATAAAATATGAATAAAAAATGCCAATAGTTGATATTTGATAAGCATGACAAACTTTAAAACTGTTCAAATTAAAAGATGTAATAATCAAACAAAATTATTTTCTGTTCAAAAGTGGCGTGAAAAGTGGTTGTAGCTAGATCCTTAAGATAATAAAGCTCAGGTGAGTTAATTGGGCTCTCTCCCGAATTTTAAAATACAGCCCTTCTTGACAACAATTTGGATCATATCATGCAAATCAAGAATACATGAAACATTGAGAAATTTTAAACTAATATTGCGCAGCATTGTCCAGAGAATAAAAATAAATAAACAATCAAAGAGAAGGTGGGACCAAAATTATTTCACTTTTGAACCACCTTTTAGTCTTCTTCTTTTTTTCAATTCAAAGGAAATGAGATCAGGAGATAAATGTATTCCCTACAAATGCTTAGCTAAGGCAAGCAGCCGTCCAAGGTTAGCAATGTAGTTTTCCTTTTAAGGTTTTACTGTCAGAAAAAAATTATAACACTAGCTAATGGATAAACGATTAACATAATCAGCATAAAGTGCTGGAGAGAGGACAAATAAAAAAATCAAAATAGCTAATGAATTCAATAGATATTTTGAATTAATATATCATAATTTCCAACAAATTTAAATAAAAGAAACCTTGAAAACATGATTCAAAATTTTAAATAGCCAAATTTAATAAAAGAAACCTTGAAACCCTAATTCTACAACAAATGAAAAGAAAATAAAACAAAACACAACATATTAAAATGCCATTATAAGCCTTGAAAACATGATCCATGATTATCATAGTTTGAACTGGACTCATGTCCAGGCACGCACTTGACATTGACAAAGTTTTAGGTTATAGTCATGAGAGTGCTGAGAAGGCTTTGCACCTTTATCTGAATTTCTGGAGTATTTTGGAGTTCTTCCCAGGAAGCCATCGCAGCGGACTTTTTTGCTATATTCACTTAGGTGAGATCACCAAAGTATCCTCCAATTTAAGAACCTCACAAATTATGCATATGCTTTCATTTAGAGCATTAACAAAGCCTTACATAATCCAATGCAACTGAGTAAAATCATATTCTATGGGGTGGGAAAGAGAGAAGTACTATTTTATGCTCTTGAAACGTCAATTGTAGTTTCATTTTTGCTGAATCGAACCTTATGTCATGGTATTTTCAATAGAAGATTAGGTAATCACTGTAGAGGTTTGCTTTATCAGCATCAGAAGCATTTCATCTGTGGAGTTAATATTAATATTTCTATATAACATTTAAAAATGCCTGCAATATTGTTACAAACTTATTTAATAATAAGCAATGATACATGCTCTGCAAATCATGCAACAAGTCATGAATGATTCGCTTGCATCTCCTTTTCACCACACTTTAAATTCTTTGCTGTTGCAATACTGACATGATTACCGAAGTTACTAGAACTATTGGCACGTGTTTTTCAATTAGAGCTAAAAAACCAGGTAATAAATTTTAAGCAATGAATCCCGATTTAAGAAATATCAAGTGCAAAAAAACATAAGATTATAAATTTTGTTGATTCTACAACACAGCAATATTAAACACCTATAACCATTTTGGCTTCGCTTCATTTTCACCTGCAACCCAAAAAAATCATTGTAATCACTAAATTGCTGGCTCATAATTTTTAAACGACCCTGTTTTTCTTCTATTTCAACCACTAAGGGGCTGGAGTTAAATAATCTCCATTCAAACGCTTAGGAAAGACAAGCAGCCTGCCCAGCTTAGCAACACAACTTCCCCCTTAAACAAAATATACTAAGCAGACTTATCGGCAGTAAAAAATAAATGGCAAAAGACCTGAAATTGAAAAGAGTTCGCTGTATCAATTAAAAATCAAATATTTCAATTTAGTTAAAGCCATCAATTTTGAGTTATGCAGCCCGCTTTATATTAGTGGTCGGAAGCCTTCACCTCTAATCAAGGGGTCATCGTTGGAGGCCTTGCATATATATAAATATATATATATTGATGAGTTGGATGGCAACATGTGTCTGTCCACCCCATATGTGCCAATTCGACCTAGATGAATTGCAACCCGGGACCGAAGGGACTTACCCTGAAGCTGCTTGCATATATATATATATATATATATATATAAAAAAAAAAGTGTGGAGAGAGTATTATATATGAGCCCCCCCCCCCCCCAGCCCTTAGGTTTTGTCATATATATATATATATATATATCCGTGTGTGTGTGTGTAAATTTAAGTTTAATTGGCTTAAAGTTCAGAAAAAAAAAACTGAGTTAGCCTGCCTCTATATTTTGAACAAATTTTAAATTTCAACTTAAGATATAATATATAAATACACAAAAAAACCTTCACGCCTACCCGCCCGCCCGCTGAGAGAACCATAAACACATATCGTTGTACACAATGCATTTGCGCATGATATATAAACAGGTAAGAACCCGACCGCCCACAACAATGCAGTGAGTCAACTCGTCCTTGTCCCCAAAACCGTGAATAGTTTTGAAAAAAAGAAAGCTAATAATAATAGCATTTCAATATATAACAACCAACGAAATTAGACAACTAGGACTACATAATGCACCTGTCCGATTGTATCCATTCAATTCTCATGATAAATGGAGAAAATCTGATGTAATGTTTTACATATTATGTTTTTAAATAGGGTTAAATATAATACAACCTATATATCTGCGAAAATACAGGTTTACATAAGCACAGAGATAAAGCCGGTTCCGAGTCAAATCTGACAACATCTTATTACTTATAAGAGTGGATCTAATAAAACACAAATTGATTATTTTCTTATGAGAAGAAGAGATCGTCGTGATTGTAAAGATTGTAAAGTCATTCCAAGTGAAAATTTAAATACCCAACATCGTTTATTAGTTTTAGATTTTAAGATTAAGAGTTGTAAAATAAAAAATACTAAGACTCATCTTTGCAGAATTAGATGGAGAAACTTAAAAGATACAAATAAAATTATTTTTATGAGTAAAATTCAAGATTTCAATATTTGGGATATTCATGAAGAAGCAAATGTGATGTGGGATAAAATATCAAACGCTATTAAACATGTAGCAAAAGATGTTCTTGGAGAATCAAAGGGAAAAATATTTACAAATAAAAATAGTTGGTGGTGGAATAATAATGTGCAAGAAAAGATAAAATATAAGAAGTTATGTTATAAAAATTGGTTTAAATGTAAAAGCTTAGAGAACTGGAGAAAATATCAAACGACTCGCAGGGAGTCTAAAAGAACAATCTGTGATGCTAAAAATTCTGCTTTTAATGATCTCTATAATAGATTAGATATTAAGGAGGGTGAAAAATATATGTATAAACTAGCCAAACAAAGAGAAAAGAAAAGTAAAGATTTAACTCAAGTAAAGTGTATTAAAGATGAAAATCAAAAAGTACTTTTCTTAGAAAAAAATATTCAACATAGGTG